ATGAAAGTCATGATATTCGGAGCAAGCTCTTGCATACCGAATCGACTGTGACATATAAACATATAAAGAAGTGGAAAATCTGAACTAGAATATGTAATTCATACAGTTACCCCACTATACCAGTTGTATCGGGCTCGGTGAAGGAGCCCGCTATTGATACAACCCCATTATTCTAGTTGTATCAGGCTCTGGGAAGGAGCCCGCCATTGATACAGCCCCACTATACCAGTTGTATCAGGCTTGGTGAAGGAGCCCGCTATTGATACATCCCCATTATACCAGTTGTCTCAGGCTCTGTGAAGGAGCCCGCTATTGATACATCCCCATTATACCAGTTGTATCGGGCTCGGTGAAGGAGCCCGCTATTGATACAACCCCACTATACCAGTTGTATCAGGCTCTGTGAAGGAGCCCGCTATTGATACAACCCCATTATACCAGTTGTATCAGGCTCTGTGAAGGAGCCCGCCATTGATACAACCCCACTATACCAGTTGTATCAGGCTCTGTGAAGGAGCCCGCCATTGATACAACCCCACTATACCAGTTGTATCAGGCTCTGTGAAGGAGCCCGCCATTGATACAACCCCACTATACCAGTTGTATCAGGCTCTGTGAAGGAGCCCGCCATTGATACAACCCCACTATACCAGTTGTATCAGGCTCTGTGAAGGAGCCCGCCATTGATACAACCCCACTATACCAGTTGTATCAGGCTCTGTGAAGGAGCCCGCCATTGATACAACCCCACTATACCAGTTGTATCAGGCTCTGTGAAGGAGCCCGCCATTGATACAACCCCACTATACCAGTTGTATCAGGCTCTGTGAAGGAGCCCGCCATTGATACAACCCCACTATACCAGTTGTATCAGGCTCTGTGAAGGAGCCCGCCATTGATACAACCCCACTATACCAGTTGTATCAGGCTCTGTGAAGGAGCCCGCCATTGATACAACCCCACTATACCAGTTGTATCAGGCTCTGTGAAGGAGCCCGCCATTGATACAACCCCACTATACCAGTTGTATCAGGCTCTGTGAAGGAGCCCGCCATTGATACAACCCCACTATACCAGTTGTATCAGGCTCTGTGAAGGAGCCCGCCATTGATACAACCCCACTATACCAGTTGTATCAGGCTCTGTGAAGGAGCCCGCCATTGATACAACCCCACTATACCAGTTGTATCAGGCTCTGTGAAGGAGCCCGCCATTGATACAACCCCACTATACCAGTTGTATCAGGCTCTGTGAAGGAGCCCGCCATTGATACAACCCCACTATACCAGTTGTATCAGGCTCTGTGAAGGAGCCCGCCATTGATACAACCCCACTATACCAGTTGTATCAGGCTCTGTGAAGGAGCCCGCCATTGATACAACCCCACTATACCAGTTGTATCAGGCTCTGTGAAGGAGCCCGCCATTGATACAACCCCACTATACCAGTTGTATCAGGCTCTGTGAAGGAGCCCGCCATTGATACAACCCCACTATACCAGTTGTATCAGGCTCTGTGAAGGAGCCCGCCATTGATACAACCCCACTATACCAGTTGTATCAGGCTCTGTGAAGGAGCCCGCCATTGATACAACCCCACTATACCAGTTGTATCAGGCTCTGTGAAGGAGCCCGCCATTGATACAACCCCACTATACCAGTTGTATCAGGCTCTGTGAAGGAGCCCGCCATTGATACAACCCCACTATACCAGTTGTATCAGGCTCTGTGAAGGAGCCCGCCATTGATACAACCCCACTATACCAGTTGTATCAGGCTCTGTGAAGGAGCCCGCCATTGATACAACCCCACTATACCAGTTGTATCAGGCTCTGTGAAGGAGCCCGCCATTGATACAACCCCACTATACCAGTTGTATCAGGCTCTGTGAAGGAGCCCGCCATTGATACAACCCCACTATACCAGTTGTATCAGGCTCTGTGAAGGAGCCCGCCATTGATACAACCCCACTATACCAGTTGTATCAGGCTCTGTGAAGGAGCCCGCCATTGATACAACCCCACTATACCAGTTGTATCAGGCTCTGTGAAGGAGCCCGCCATTGATACAACCCCACTATACCAGTTGTATCAGGCTCTGTGAAGGAGCCCGCCATTGATACAACCCCACTATACCAGTTGTATCAGGCTCTGTGAAGGAGCCCGCCATTGATACAACCCCACTATACCAGTTGTATCAGGCTCTGTGAAGGAGCCCGCCATTGATACAACCCCACTATACCAGTTGTATCAGGCTCTGTGAAGGAGCCCGCCATTGATACAACCCCACTATACCAGTTGTATCAGGCTCTGTGAAGGAGCCCGCCATTGATACAACCCCACTATACCAGTTGTATCAGGCTCTGTGAAGGAGCCCGCCATTGGTACAACCCCACTATATAAAAGCAAACAAGTGCGTGTAGCATTCATACAGTATGCTGGAGATGTTTTATGTTGAGCTTAGCTTTGTTTTGTGACCGTGCTTTTAGATGCATCCTTTTCGTAATGTCACCTCGCTTGTAGGCTATGAAAAAAGACACATCAACATCCTTCCCAGACAACTTTATACCACACCTCGATTGTTGGAATTGTGCAGGCAAGAGAAAGAACTTTCTCTGAATTTTCCTTTCTACGATAACTTCGGAAAGAATACGACAACGAGTTCCGGAATGGTAAGGTCTCTACTTCTTCGACGTCACCTGCCATCTGAATCTTGGTCAAATTGAAGTAATGTTTGAGCTTATGAATGACCCTATCCTTCATTTTAGGTAACAGACGTTAAATCAATTGTTTAAATATGAAAATAATATAACCATTTTATTTATACTGCAATAGGCCATGCATATACAATGATAGGACGCTTTAAGGTCAAAGGTCCTTAGTTCTCATTGTTAGCCATCGATACATTGTTGCATGGTGGTGGTTTTCTACTATTTTATGTATTGTTGCTTTCCCCAATTTGTTTTTGTCGTGTATTGTTTTCTCCTTTGTCTAATTGTGTACTGTTTTAACGTGTTATTACATTGATGTTGTTCCGTCCATATGCTACTGATTTATTGATTGTTGTCCTCGTGTTAGTTCATTGCTTTTATTTTCCCGATGTTATTATTTTGTTGATACTCATGACTTAAAACACAAAGTTTTAATGTTACAAATAACACAATAAATAGGAACGTAATGCTTCAATGAGTACTTTAATATAATGTTTATATAATATTGAATAAAACAGTAACTTTGATATAGTTTAATGACAATAGAGACCTGTACACAACATTATTCATGATTGCTGTTGGTTGTTGTTTTTGCAGGACATTTAGTAATCAATATCAACATCAACATTTAACCACATTAACTCCCAAAGACTACAAGTCAAATCTCTTTTACAACCAGATGTATTTCAATGTTTACAAAAAATACAGCATATCTCAATAACTATATTAGAGTCATGTTAATTGGATTTGTCCAACGACTTGTATGAAATACAGGTAATCACTATAATATACCCAATATAGCATAAAATACTAGACTATATAACAATATCTCTAAAATAGTAATCATACATGTATGATATAAGAGATTACATTATATCCAATAAAGTATAGCATGCTGAATCATAAATGGCCGATCTAGTATGATGCTTAGGACTGTGTTATATGTGCCATATCAGCCCTCGACCCATAGCAGATCTCGGTCTAAGGCCCTCAGTCTGATTTTGGGTCCTCGGGCTGATATGGCATGTGGTATGGATTTTACCATGTATTATTCTATATATATCGACTCGATATTACCACTTTGGAAACACAAGGTCAATATTCCGTTTTTGACTTCACATCAATTATGATAACGTCACAATGCAGTACGTGTCTCCTGTCTGTCATCGCGCTACGTGGAAAGAGCAAATAAGGTAGTAATGGAGGAGGGGTATAATATTCGACCTTTACAATCCCGTTTGGGTAATGATTGATTGATTGAGATATCACTGCAGACGATACTGAAAGGGTAGACATATATATTTCGATTGAATTCAAAACTCGTGATTTGGAATATTGTTTATTTAAATGTCTGCGTGGTTCGAATCAATTATCATAAAAGAGATGCTGCAATTTTTGGGATTCCGGAATATAGAATCCGTAGATCAGCAATATTCCAAAGCGAACGACAACTGTTTATAAACAGTGATGGGGAGGACAAAACAATGTCATATATTTGGTTTTATAATAAAATAGTACAAATGGAGTTCTTGTTAGATAGTTATCTTATTGACCTTTTAAGACAAACCATTTCCCTCGTTCTTCTACCTTGAGAACTAGTTTGCCATCCTGCCACACTGAATATTTCCCTAATGACCACTCTATATCTGTATGATATCTGTAATATTATAACATAAAAGGGCTTTACTATACTTAATATATTTAAACATTGGAGATAATATATTCAATATATTCTAACATTAGGATTTACAATTTATCCAAAACAGTATGAAGGACTGTAATATATGTATGTATCATTATACTATACTATTCTATATCCAATATTGTATAACACGCGGGACCATACTATAACATATCCAGTTTATTGTATCATGATAGAGCACAATACTATAAAATACAGGACTTTACTATGTAGTACTTACAGAGAGGCTGCGTAGTATTTATATATTTATATCTACATCACAAGTTCCATAAATGTTAAGTTTGTTTTGAACACAAACAATAATTGAAAATTTACTAAGGGGCGGACCAGGTAAAAATGTTACCCCGTCCCTCTGACTGCCTGCAGCATAAGAGTCATATTTGTCCTAAATGTTTCGAAATTTTTAGACAACTGATTTTACTGACTCGGCACATTGTGGTGTAGTGAGTTGTTTTCAGTGGTTTAGAGTCGAGACGGTGAAACAGACGTTTTCGAAAGTTCGCTGTTACTGTTTGTGTTCAAAACAAAATTAGCATTTATTATTCATACTAAACTGATGAATCTCATTCCAAAAATCACAAGTTTCATTTCATCATGAATGACATTGAAAGAATAAAGTTTTCCTTTCATTGTTTAAATTAGGCATGTGACGTCATATGTCTCGTAAGATGATGCCTTTCCCGAAATGTCTCGTGACAAATATTACATTTTAGCTTGTCGTCTCTTTTCTTTTTTACAGGGTCAAACTCTCGTTTGTGATGAGATCTCATATGGTATACCAGATCACTTGTCATTCTGAAAGAAGCGTTGCATTTTGCACACCAATTCTGAAACACGGGCATGGTGTTTCCAGTTGGGCTGGACATCATGGGAGCTGTGGGGCTAGGAACCATGACAGCCGGTGGTAACAAGGCAGTTGCTCTGGGATTAACTAGAATTCGGTCTACCATAGGGTTAGCGCTTTTCATAAATGATATGTCATTATTTATTTTATTAGGGAAGCCATACTGTTTTGATGGATCAACTCCGATACCGTGTAAACTCCTCATTATGGATTCTTGTGTTCCATTGTATTGCTGGGGAAATGCAAACCTATACGCTTCCATCATCGATGCTCTCAGCTGAGGGTCAAGGACGTTCGCCGTAAGTGACGACGAACCCATTAAAGGTGATGTTGGTAGCACTGACGTCGCTAAACTTGTCGGCATAACAATGTCTTTTGAAGCAGACACTGGTCTATTCTCCATTCTGTTATGCATGTTTATAGCACTGCTAGCATAATGCAGATTTGACGCGTTGCGTCTGATTTCACAGTTTGAAACATTCATTTGAGGAGAAAGAGATCGTTCCACTTTTCTAAACGCACTTGGATTGCTTGGGCTACTTTCTTGAACACTATCTATGCTAATGTTTGCATTACAATCTTTCTCTGGTGAGTCTTTTTTCAGGAGTGGCGGTGATTGATTTTCGCCATTTTCGTAACTTTTTATTTTAACTTCCACATGATCTTCGTTTTCCATCGCATGTCGTTTCCGACCCAACAGAACGTCCTCGTTTGTATGCTCAAATCCAGGACGATGGATGTCACTCGAAAGTCTGTCAGTATGTGACACTCTGCTTAACAATTTACTGTCATGAACACTTTTGATATCTTGGTTATGAACTCTCTCATATAATGATCGACTATCCATTCTTTTGTTGTCGCATTTGAAGCGCATATGTGCTCTCAAAGGAAATAAATACTGGAACTTTTCTCCACAAAACTGGCACACGTAGCTCACTTTTTCTGTGGAAGACAAAGGGTTTTCAATTTTTATTTCATATGTCATATTGAAAAACCTATACGTTGCATGGTTCACTATCAATAAAGAGAAATTATAATCATTTTCAGTTGAACGAATTAAGTTCATATTATGTTTTGATATAACTGCTGACGTTTAAAAGCTCAGAAACAATTCTGTGATATTGAGAATGGCATATAACACAACCATTACCTGGATAGTAGTAACGGTAGTAGCCTGATATCGTCAGCACGTACAATCGAGGTAGTTACTGTTAATGTCACACTTACAGATGTTCGGGAACAGCATTTAGAAAACTCCCTGTCTCACTTTACCCTAATGGTAGTTATACAGATATAATCATTATTAACATTAATTCCATAAAGAGATTTTAGATGGTTTAAATGGTCGTTATTTTCTTTCGAATTTTAAGGGGCATCACACTCTTACAACCACAAACCGTTATAATGATTAATTCCCTTGAATGACTGACAGCTTGTCCCGAAATGTTACATTGTACTACTGAATCCAATTGATATCTGCGGAATGCCTAATGGTAACTGCCTAGAATCCCTGCGCTCCCCTGTGGACTACCTACCCTGAATGGTACTACGCCTGACGTCAGGTATGCCGATCAGCTGACAGAAGTCCTTACTGTACCAAACCAGGAGTTCTTCCCTTTCTTTAATTATCCGCAATGTCCGATAAAATACCTGGCCATTCTTCATATATGCTTCCACGTTCTGTTCCTCCTCCTCACGGGCGGGCTGAATGTACGCTAACCAGCCGTCAGCACGCGCCACGCCATTGCTGGCGTCAGGGTCCACCTATAAAAGCGACAAATTTGTTCAGATAAAACGACCATTAATCCCGCCGTGGTAATGATAGGTGTTTGTGTGGCACTGCGACAGGGGTGGAGTAATGTCACGGTCTTGTGTCGTAAAGTGGCAAGGGGTGGAACTGTCACCCCGAGTCGATGTTATAAAATGAAATACGACTTTATTCCCATCATCTTATGACAGATGTATTCTATCAAATGGTCCCTGGACAAACGTCAGTGAAAGAGCATAGTCATTGACTGTCGAAAACAGTTCTACCATAACAGGCGTGTAATCGGTGGAAATATCTTTTTTCAATCAAAACTACGTTAATGACAAATCAGGATGGACTACTGTACGGACGAAACAATAAACATTTAATACTCAAATCAGGGTGGACTACTGTACGGACGAAACAATACACATTTAATACTCAAATCAGGGTGGACTACTGAACGGACGAAACAATAAACATTTAATACTCAAATCAGGGGAAGAGAGAAGCAAATATAATAAACGTTTCGTATCATTTCTATACAAACTCATATGTTTAACTTGTAAAGGAAATAAGTTATTTTTACGTTAGACTTTGTTTCGTTTTTATGCAAACTAATATTTAAGTTCAAGCTACTTTTAATGTTATACTTCGTGTCATTTTTATACAAACCAAAATACAAATGGCAACTAAATATGTAATTATTGATTATATCATATCATTTTTTTCGTGTTAAGCCATGCTTTTGTGTTTATTGTAGAAAAACATAAATATCATATAAATATTCAACATACCTCCACAAACTCTGTTGTTTTCTAATATTTGTAAATTCATCCTGTAGTGAATATTTGTAAATTCATCCTTTAGTGAATATTTGTTAATTCATCCTGTAGTGAATATTTGTTAATTCATCCTGTAGTGAATATCTGTTAATTCATCCTGTATTGAATATCTGTTAATTCATCCTGTAGTGAATATCTGTTAATTCATCCTGTAGTGAATATTTGTTAATTCATCCTGTAGTGAATATTATTTTGTAATTACTATTTGATAATTTACTTAGCAAATGTTGTTTTAATAATAATTGTTTATTCATACTTTTACAAATAATAGTTTGTTATTGCTGTTAAAAAATATCAAAAACAAATACTGTTTAAATAATAACTGTTTTATCATTTTTTAATAAATGTTATTTGTAATAGCTATTTAATAATATCATACCAAATACTGTTTGAATAATAATTAAACAACCATACCTTATTAAAACTTATTTGTAATTAACATTTTCTCGTTCCTTAACAAATATCATTTTATAATAATTATTTCATGTTTGAAATTACTATTAGTTTTCCACTTGTTTTATCTTAGTTTAACTTTACTGTGATGCAATCCTGATGATTACAAGTTTATAGTTTTGTTAAGACCTTGTTATACTATATTATGGATTTAAGCAAATAAAAGAATAGATATGAAAATATGAGCAATATACTTATGTTCAACTGAAGCATAATAGTCATAGGTGTTTACAAAGCTATTTATTTATTTATTAACGTATTTTATATTTTCTTTAAAAGTTTTGTCCATTAGAAATCGTTTATTTTCGTTATATTTTATAAATCGGAGTTCAATTTGATTAGGTAAGAAACTAATATGACATGTCTATATCACCGCTAAGTCCTAGAAGGACAAAACAGCTATGTTATTACCTGTGTGTAAGTAAGCTCAATCTTTTTAAACAAGTTACACTTTATATATTTACGTCTTTATCTAAATATTTAATGCAAAAAGCCACACCTTGGATATTTGCGTCTATATCTAAATATTTAATGTAATAAGTTACGCCTTAGATATTTAAGTTTATATCTAAATCTTTAATGTAAATATCTAAATATTTAATGTAAATATCTATATTAACGCACTACGTTTCATGACCATTTATAAATAAGTAACACATGACTTGTTAATCTTTATCTAAATAAGTAAAGACAAACAGTATCTGACTTTTCAACCCCGAGATTGTACGAGATTAATTCAGAAATTTGAACGATTCCATTGTTGTTCCCTCCGCCGGTGCTATACGCTCTCGTGGCTGGTGTCATTGTCCGCGGGTTTTGTGTAGTATATCAATACATTTTGATTTCGTGAAAAATCAATCTAGGATTCATTACCTATGATTAAAACTCCATAAACGTGATCAATGCATTTGACCAAACATCGGAAACAGTCAGTGATATATTCAAATGTCGCCGATATCCTTTGATAAATGATCTTATTTGTGTTTTACATTAAACTCTCAAAAGTAAAAGGATAGTAATTTCATTGTGACCAATACAATATAAATATCAGATATCCGGTAAACTAGGAAGCCTCCGCTAGTGTCTAGACAGTCGGATCAACTTTCTGTCACAGCAAGGTGGTGGGGACGAGGATGTTGTATCAGTGACAGTCGGCACGAGATGTAAACTTCACAGTCTCACGTTAGACGGTCGTTAGATTGATGTTTTCTTTATACACATAGAAATAACTTCATTTTCATAATTTTCAGTTTTCAAAAACTTTGTCCAAGATTGATGTTATTATTCATTATTCGTATGCTAATGAACAGGGGATGGTTCTATAAGGGTCAGATCAGAGTCAAACAATTTATCTTTCCGTTAATGTGTTTACTAGATAGCTAAAAACTGGGAATTAGGATTGCTAGATAATATAGAAAATAAATTCACGCGATACCATTTATTAAACCTACACTCCAATAGTTTGATTTTTGATTACCAGTATATTTTGATCATTGGATAACTCTACATTAGGTATCTCTAACATCTTTTCAATACAGCACAATCATTTCAGTAAGTTAAACTAAAACAGTGTGTTCTTATATCCATACACAATCATATCATACAGATCTGTAGTTGAATGATGTTCTGATGTCAGTTTATTTAAATATTAATATTACAAGCAGTATTATTGAAGCCTAACTCGGAAAACAGGTTTTTGCAATGAGTGGTAAGTGGTTCAAACTGTTAGTTTCCAGCAACAAGGAAAATGAATATAACATAAATAGCAATAAATATCAAAGAGAGTTTCCTAGCTTAAAATTGGCCATTCTCTTAAGAGTTTATCTCAGCTAATTTGATCTTTAGTTTTTATTTATTTAGAATAGGGATACTAATTCCAGCTATGTATACTCATGCGGTATTCTCACCAATGCCTACATCTTTCATTCACAGTATACATAACTAATTCAACAAGTTTACTGTACAATAGCTCGATTGTTATCAAGATTAATGTCCCGCATCATCATTACACCCAAATAATGTCTTTTTTGGTTTCTGATTTTCTAGCTGTTTTCAAACAGGGCAATTATTTCTGTATTTAGTATTCTCTTGCATTAAACTTTCAATAAATGTAAAGCAATAGCAAACGTGATCACGTGATTACCTCGATAGCTGGAGAGTCATGTCGTGTGTCCTGTGTGAGCATGCCAATCACATAGGTCGGGTCCATCAGCGCCACCTGTACCGGAAATGGTCCAAATATCCGGCCATAGTCGATATCGCATACGGTGATTACTCCCATAATTAATATGTCTGTAAAAGTAGAAACATACCATTACATACAGCCTGTTAGTCTGTCATATCCACAAACAGTTCATTTAATCTTTATTCTCTAGATCTTCGCTTTATGTTTTATGTCTATGTTCTATAAAATGTAGTCTCTGCTTATTACTACGACGATGTTTTATCTTTATGATTTCTATATTTAAGTCTCTTTTATGTCAATGTTACGTATGTTTATGTCTCTACGTATTTCTATTCCTAAAAAAGTCTCTACGCCTTATGTTGTATGTCTATGTTGTATATAATTCAGTCTACATATTTCTACGGCTTTACTTTATCTTTATGATTTTTATAGTTAAGTCTCTACACCTTATGTTTTATGTCTATGTTGTATATAATTCAGTCTACGTATTTATAAGGCTTTATCTTATCTTTATGATTTCTATAGTTAAGTCTCTACGCATTGAGCGATATAAATTTCATCTCCTAGAGGATTTAACTTTTAATATTTTGAATAAATTTAAGTAAAACAAATTATTGCTATTAATGTGATACATATATTAAAATTTGAATAAGAATAATAACAAAGTGTTTCCTATTTAGTTTGTGTTATTCCTTTTGTATACTCATTCAGCAATATTTATATTAAAACGGAAATATTAATGTGATACTATCAATTAGCTAATACCAGAGCACAGCGGTGAGCAATGTAGATATGTGAAGACAGACGCTGATGGGAGCGCCGTGTACCATAGACAGATTTAGACGCCCAATCATCGATAACTGCACAGCTCGTAAGCCCGTCCTGTCGCGAGCAACCCCATTACAGACAAGTGCTACTGTGCGCTCAGGGACATATGTTTTCTCATCAAGAACTTGAGACATTTTCTAAAACCATCAATATATTTCCATCAACTCTTCCCCTAACTGATCTCCGTATATGTGACCCATGCGATAGGCAAGCAATCAATTTTCGGCGATGTTCTCGCCTGTATGATTACTGATATGCCGTAGAATTGGCAACGGAACGGAAAATGGTTCCTGTGGATTTTTAATGGTGATTGGATATTAGAAAGCCGACGCAGATTGAAATTTCGTCGCCGGTGACATTATTAACATTAATCCGGAGAAAGCATGTGAGTCTTCCGCCATCAAAGATGCTATCGTGTTAGAAACGTCAGCGGACCGTGCACTAAATTGAATGAAACCTCATCAGAGGAAGCAACTTAATTATTGTGTTTCAATACAAGCTTATTTAAACACCCAAGGCGCCTGCAAGGGTTTTGTTATTCGCCATCAACGATCCAGATAAGATGGTTTACACGCTTAAATCATCAACCTTTTTACTACATTTTTATAAGATTAATAAGGTATGATATTGGGGTATTAGTAAAAGCGAGGGATAAAAAGATTTTTGTCTGCAAAATGAAAATGTTATCAAGCTTGTTTCTGTCTTAGTAACATAAATGATTCTATTGACGCTTGCTTTATACCTTCTTTAAGAATTTCCCTTGAGACGCCCCTGTTACACATGCCTTCGAGGAAAGACAATTCACGTTCTATAGGGTTTTAATGGGTGCCCGTCAATTGTCGAGTAAACATTGTTTGGTATAGTAACACCATACATCGAACGCACCCTCGGGTCTAATGAAGCTCGTCAGAATCAAAGTCGAACAGCCATATGCAGCAGCGATAACACCGAGCGATCAGGTGCAAAGTGTGGAGAGCTAATTTTGTTTTATTCATCGGAGAGTTGTTAAGCATTTGATAAATGCCCCAACTTGAGCGGTTATTTTTGTTACTATTAGTAATATCATTTTCGTCCTGACAATATCTGTAAGGCAAATCCCTCTCACGAAAAGTCAACCATATGCCCTCGGCGTGGCTCGCTGGTTCTGATTAAGGACGACATTGTCAAACATATGAGAAACAAATAAGGGTTTATTTATCGACACGGGGCATGTTAGTGAAAGGCAGTGACGATACACATCGGTTTATCTCTTCTAATTTAGTAAGAGCGATAAAAAGTAGGAAACGTCTTCAAGGGGACCTTAGGGAGCGACCATTGTGGTTGATATGATGTCTATCTCAGGAATATATCGATAAATGGAAAAGCGCGATGTATAATGTTAGAAAACATATGTGGATATAAATGACAGACGTCTGCAGTAAAGCCGAGGAGAAGCGGCCGTGTTACTGGGTATATAGTGAAATCGACCGAGTAGGCTTCAATAAGGCAAGTCGGGGTTTACTTTATACTTCTAGCCGTCAAAACCACGAATATTATGTAATACAATGCATGTTTGCAAGACTTTTCAAAATCTATATCAGAATATGTTTTAATTGCATTTGTAATTTGACACAATATTAAAATCCTCTCAACATGTTTAATGGTGATAAAATACACGACATTTATAAACCAGATCAAACTCCAAAAGTTTATATGTAAAGCCAGCATAGACAGAGGAGGCACAAAAACAAATGAAAAAAAGAGTTCGAACCAATAACGGTGGCTTAAGATTTACAAAACAAAATGTTAGAAATAAACACGATTAAATTAAGTCTCGTTATTATTAATTAATTACCTCAATTTGTTTAGGAAATAAAAATGAAAAACAATTCCAACTGACGTGTTTATCTCGCCAGATCGTTTTTCAATAATTAATTTATATCAAAGCTGATGTTGCACGTACACAAACCGGTGGCGGACATCATCGCTGGAACCCTTTTGTCGAACGTCCTATAGCTGTGTGTTATGAAAACAAGAACAGACGTTGGTGATGACACCAATATGGTCCTATCTAGTGAGGCGTTGGTGACAGCGCGGGCTGACCACCACACACCACACAACACACATCCAATAGGGAAACCAAGCACAGACTTTCAATTAGGATCCGGCAGATTAAATAGCCCCTTTTGGGAATTTATCTTGGAATTGGATTCCCTGTATCATGAGATGATGACAAATAGTACGGAATACATCGTTAACGTAATAAATATTCCGTGGGAGTCACATTTTGATCACATTAATGTTTATAATTTTTTCAAACGTTCATCATTTTTTTTCCGTTCGTATGATGTTTAAGTTCTTTTACTTAACTTTGATAAACAGTATTAAATGATAAGTATGTGGCATATCTATATTTGTATTCGATGTTGTTTTTATTCCTGATGTTAGATATGTAAGGCCACTGTTCATAGACCTATTGTTTTACACTGTTTCCTTGGGATTGTTCTTATTATATAACTTAATTCTATTTTGACATTTTCAGATTCAATAAAACAACATGCTCCTAGCTCGTTTATATTATGTTTAACATACGGGTTATTATTTCTATTTATTATATCATTTTGCTATATTATCGTGAGATGATAAAAAGAGATCATCCTGTTTTGCAGTTGTTGAATTATTTCGTGAATAAAATAAGACAATCAACAAATATCCAAATAAAGATACGGACATTTTTTTTGAAATATAACAAAAAATGATAGTTGATTTGTGCGTGTTCCGGTAATTTCTTGATACACTTGTTTGTGACAATCTGTTCTGTCATCAAATGTGTAAGGGAATACATATGAACGAGTTGCAAAATACCTATATATATTTTTTCATTTTTTTTTGAAAAAAATAACGAAGTTAAGTTAAGTATAAATGTTGCAAGCATGTGAAAACATCAACTTTGTATGTCAACTTAATATTTTCTCTTTAACCGATGACAGTGACAGATTTTAGATTTCTTTCGATGTGTATTTTACTGCCGTTAATATACAAAGTAAATTTTTAAAAAGATATTAAATAAAAACTTTCTGAATATTCCTATTTCTTGATGCATTTTGTAACCTTTCCTAACATTATTACTGCTTCTCGATGCTAATTGATATCCTGTTTTATAGTATTCTTATGTTTTAAACACTTCGTGAAAAGTACATCGTTACAGTTTACTTTTCCATTTTAGAAATTATGTTGTTTTTCTCGTTATAACGAATCATTCAATAAGTTAACTAAACCCGAGTTTAACGTTCAATAAAACACGGTAGATTTCTTACCTACAGCAACCTGATACATATTGATTTCTTCTATACACCTGTTATGGTATGTTTAAAGATATATACACGTATCTAGGCTGTTATGACTATGATAGACTAAAGAAATCGATTGAAATGTTCCTATGATTTTCTTTAGAAATAATAAGGCATCTTCAGTTTTAATCGCCGTTCTTGTGACATGTTTACTTAGTCAGTCTGTGATATGATCATACCATGTAGTTGTTTAAAGACATTTTGATATCAAAGTTTTAATGTGGAATCATGCTCCAGAATCAAACAGCGTGATTATTGATACGAGCATATGGATAAATCCACAAAGGAGCTAGCAGGACCATTCAAGGAAACATGCACATTTCTGCTTGTTGGGCAGGGTTAGGCTTAATGTACGGGCAGGGTTAAAACACCTGTGAAAGTTGGACAATGAAATAACGACGGTCTTTAATCCCTTGGTTTGTTTATAGGTTTTATAGTTTCTTTCATCTTAATGTGCATTCATTTGACATTAAATCTTTTTTTTAACTATGTTCATCCCTCTTTTAAGTTTCACTAATAAAGCTTAGTGCTCTCTCTAAAATATATTGATAATATAACAAATTTGTTATTATATATCGCAAATTTAAATTATAAATGTATTACCTAACATTGGTGTTTCAGTAATGCTAAAAGCATAATCATCATTTATGTTATTTTGGACATATTTACAATTGGAACAGAAAAGGCTATAAAATGTTTCCTCAGGCCTCAATTTCATGATGCGATTAATAAAAAGTTATGCCATATTGTCAGTTGATTGGTAGTAGTAGTTATGGGCTGATAAGTAGCGGTTGTCTGTTCATACGTGATGGGACTTTTTCACAAACCTGTCGTAGATTGTTATATAAAACAATGTTAGTCTCCTAATGAACTGTTGATGTGTGTGCTTGATTTGTGAATAGTAAATATTACCCTGCTAATAAACTGTATTTGTGAAAAAAATCGGTATTGCCCTTCTTATGAATAGTTTTATAAGCTATATTTGTTTACACAAGATATCAGGAAAAAACGCTGACAATCATTTATTGAAAGTCTAAGGATATCTTTAATGACACAGATTCCCTGACATACCGAATATAAACAAACCGAAACTACGCAAACCACCCATCTATATTTTAAAAGGAACACTAAGTACGTCATTTCATATTTGTTATAACATGGAATAGTAGTAAATATTAAACATTACTTACAGTTAAGGTCACCTGTATCTTGTATCCTACGGAACCAGCTCCCACCATAGTGTAACTGTCAGTATCCATACCTAACATCTTTTTGTATCGATGAGGCGTACACACACGCATGCGCAAGGTAGCGCCCTTGCCACAGAAGACGTCTGTTCAATATCTTCTGTGTGATTGCGTAAGGAGCCGCTCCATGGCATACAGAGATCTACAGTGTAATTGTTACGTTATTCAAATCATATCACATATAGCAATACATATTAGAAAGAAGAAAAAAACGATTAAAGAAAATGAAAATTCAACTGTGGGAAACACGTGCACATGATACTACATTTGGAGTTTTCAACTGGGGATTCCAACTGCATTTTTATCTATTTAGTGTACAGATTTATTGTGATTTTTACAAGATTTTTCTTCATCACTTTTATAAATTACAGACTTGAAGCCGTGAGGCCTAGTAAAACTATTGAGGGAGCATATGTCGAGAACAATCTACCCCAGGAGTGTTTTAAGGAAGGACAGATCGTCTTTCAGTTGGTCCTACACAGCCTAGACTTAGCCCTCAATAGCCCCATTATACGGGCAGGCCGAGCGACTTTGTTAATATCAATAGACCGTGTTTAAATTTTGTTTCTGCCATCTGCTCGGTCGACAAAGCTAGTCCTGCCGATCGTGTCGGCTCTTCAAACCACTCTTAATCTTTATAAGGAGCACGAGTTTTTAATCGGGAGCAGCCACCGCAAAATCAAGCACCTCTGAGAGCTAATGAAAACTACAGGGATGAAATTTACCTGAATACTAACTAACAAACTTGTTAATTTGTCCGAGCTTTAATTGGTTCTTCAATCAGCACACAGTGTGTTGGCGAACTAACGCCCAGGGCGTAGGTACCCGATACACCATTGATGGGTGGGTATTTTACTCCTGAATTACTGTTTGGGGTAGAAATCCCTACTACCGTCTTGACTCTTTTTATTTTTCAGTCTGTATTGATGTTATTTTACTATTGATGATGCCAATTAGGAAGTTTGCCTTGCAGCCCTTGAACTCAATGCAAGAAAACACGACTATGGGATCCTCCACCTACAGGACACGGCTCGTGTGCAGGTGTGTGTAAGCAGGGCGACACGACACACCGGATAGATATAATAACTGGTGTTAATGTTTATACATATATCAGGGTTCACGGTTTTGTTTTTCACCATAGACCAAGCGATCACATTTTTAGTAAGAAATACAAATGTCATGAACCTATATGTCGATATAACAAGGACTTTTCACTATTATATTGAAACTGAATATGAAAAGTATAATAGAAAGGAGGACATCCTTGTAAGGCATTTGTTACACCATACCCTCCGATCTTCCATCCTTCAGTAGCTCTTCTTGATTTTCTCAACAGAACAATACACTTCCCTCAATAACAATGAAAATTTGTTGGCTCACCTGTTCCGTAGTTGTCCCTTGATGGGGCTCTCCGTGGAAACAATTGTTCATCAATCCCACGTGCTGATTGATGAGCCTATGTGCGTCGTCAGATGTACGTCCCCTCGGGCCCAATGAGGGGTCCGTCCCGAACTCATAACATTAACCGTGCGGGGGTGGGTGTCTTCTATAATTAAAACAGAACTTTCAAATATTATTGATTTACATTCCCCTTTGTTACTTGTTTCAAGTTTAATTCTTGATGTTGTGCGGAGCATTATGCTAATGGCACGGCAGGATCTCATGCCTGTATTATTTAATGGGTTGTTGCGTTACAGATATTACAAACCTTCTCAAGACAGTTTTAGTATAAACCCATAGAAATTTGAACACTTTGGAACTGTTTTAACTTAGGCAAGTTATCATTAGTTTTAAAGATAAGCAAAATTTATATATTAGTATTAAAGATAAGCAATTTCAGGATTTATAAAACATACTACTGATTCCGTATTGACGTCCAGGATGTCATATTCCCAATATTTTAAAATTTAGTTTCTCCTGTGTTAACGATGCGATTTAACGTTCTCTTGTGTAAATTGTGTGATACATATTCCTTCATTTCTATTATTTGTAAACGGTGTAATACATATTCCATCATTTCTATTATATCCGTTACTTGTGTGTTAACTGATACATATTTCTCTATTTTATTTATTTCCTCCTGGTATGTTACCGGCAACGTCTTAATTTGAATAACAACATTCATATTTCTTCTCAATATTTTAGAGGTAAATTTTCTCAAATTATTTCAATCCAATGAAATTGCTTTTTACTATAATAGAAATAAAACCCTGATTGTTTTTTAAACTAGGAAATTCTGTGATTCTATGGCCATGTCGTTAGTGAGGAAACACTTAATATTTATTTGATTGCATTGTAAATCACAGTAAAGACCAATTATTTGTAAGTTCAGTTACACTGAGATTCTTACAAGCATGAGAGGTTTTATTTATAAACCCCTATAAATACTTGTACCGTTGTCTATTTAGTAGCGTGCATATTGTCAATGTAGTTATAGATCGTTATGACATCGATACATTGCCTTCATTATCAAAGGTGTATAACCAGAATATCTCGTTTATATACGGGTAGTCAATTTTAAATATCACACTAGCCTACCATGGGATGATCGTGATGACTGCATTTAAATTCGAGGTATCTATAAAGATAGACAATAGGATAATTACAACTTATAGGGCTGGTTTGTTCTCTATTATCCTGTGTTATCGACACAACACCCAATGAGATCTTGTTTTCCGTGGTGTTACTCAGTAATCGTCTCACATGCTGTGGATAAGATTGCGTACAAGGTGGAAATGTGATGTGACAATGTGTCAGACAATGTTTCTACATAACGCAACAGACCTTCTCACCTTCCACAACCCCACATACTAACTAATATAGCTTAGTGTCCCCGACTTCTACAGGCACGACATCCTCCAGCACAACCCTAGCTATGACAGCTCATCAATTTACTTGCCAATTATACTAGTAATGACAACGAGAATATCGCATGTATACTATAAACGTGAAAGAATAAAGTATCCACTTCGTTTGTAACAATTGGGCTACGACGTGAGTCCAAAACATGAGTCCCACAATACGTGTTTAAAACTTACATTAAACACGTTACTTCCGAGAAAAGTAATCAGATACACATCCCTTTTTTGTTTTGAAGTTTCTTCTGTTCTCGATATTTCCCCTTTCATTCTCTTGTCTCCTTATATTTGTTTTCTTGTGTTTGCTTTTATTTTATTTCGTTTTCCCGAATCTTAATGTCATCATTATTATCTATGTTCTCTTTTGGTTTGATGTTTTCTCTGTTCTTAGTGTCTTTCTTTTTCATTTGGTGTTACCTTCTTTCTTGTGGTCTTCCCTTTTGTTTTGATGTTTTCGCTGTTTGTTTCTC